AAAAGCAAAGTGGACCAGTGGGAGATGGAATCTAGGGCCCCTGCCTATATATAGCAGTGCCCTACTGGCTGAGCTATCAGCCCTCACTTCAATCACCCCTTTAAGATATACCTCTTAGCTTTATATATTTATATATACCTATGTACCTAAGAGGTCATAATATGCTGGTTATCCCCAGTCTGTTAGAATAGCTGGGGATGTCCTTTAGGATGTCCCCAGGGACAACCACTCTATGGTCCCTGGGACAACTATTCTGTTATCCTAGGGACAATCACTCTTGTATCCCTGGGACAGCTTCTCTGTTGTCACATTGGCAGCTGCTCTGTTATCCTTGGTGTCCTCTTCTACAGTTATAGGATGATAAATATTGTGGTCTTTGTTGAGAGAGAGATTGTAGTTCTTTCTACACATTTGAGATTTTTAAAAGGTTGAAAGGTAAAAAGACATCAGATTGGTCAGGGTGTATTAAAGTATTGTGTATGAAGCAGCTTGATGAGCTTCACAGGGTTAAGTGATTGTCTTTTATGTGTGTTCTATTTTCAGATATTATTTATAGGTGTAGCTTTTGCACCAAAAGCATAAAACCCAATGACACCTCTAGTAAGACAAGATTGAGATGTTAATCTGTGATAAGTATAGTAAGAAGTGCACTGTGCACTAATTAGTGAGTGATTTCACCAAATTATTAAAAAAATCTTGGATTGGAATAATATATTAATGCATCCTGTGCCACAGCATCAGCTATATGGTCTGATGACACCTAAAAAAGTATCCTGATCTACATGGGACGTCAAAAGTGCAACATCTCAAGGATGGCCATAAAATGTACAGCTTCATTTTAACTATTTGTTACGATAACACAATTTCCAGACATTCCCTTTCTTTTCATTCTCCGTTTCAACTCTATACTTTAAATACCACGCGGCATTTCCCCTTTCTTGCGCCGCGTTGCCTTCCTTTTATTTTTAGATTCAACTCTCTCACGCAGTGGAGCTGGCCATACGGGCTAGGCCCTATGACATCATCAGCCACTGCCTTCATCAACTGTATAGTACACATGTACAAACAAACCTGTAGTAGTATATATACCTCAATAGATCCAGGAGACTCCTCAGCGAGTCCTCCTGTTGTATACCAACAAACTCACTGCAGCCTTAGGGGTAACCACTCCCCAACTTCATCTTCTCTATAGTGTGTTCTGAGTGCGCCAGAGTAACTCACTCTTGGTTGTTACAGTCACTCAATATTCTGGTTGTTGAAATTGAAGTTATGACATATGATAAAAACAGAAAAAAAAGTCATAAATGTCCTTGGGGTTTTAAGAGTCATATTTTGGCTGTAATATATTCTGTAGTCTGAAAATAAAGCTGATGGTCTCAAAAACAAAGTTGAAATATTTTCATGTCAAACTCAGACTGCTTCACCTTGTTGAAGATAATCTTGAGGTTGTCACAGGTTACATGGGATTTTTGAATCTTTGAAAGTAAGGGTAAATTGGGTCATACTCAGAGTGTTTCAAATATAGTACCTGTGTGATAGTCACACCATACTTGTTTGGTCCATGACACCTCGATGAACCTAATATTGTATTTAATATGGTATTGCCTCTGGCCAATTACTGGCCACTATAAAGACCATAATGGTAGTGCGTCTGACAAGGTTGCAAAAAGGTGTATCTGGTGAACTTTTTGTTTTCAACAAATTCCAGTTCAAATTGGAAAAAAGAGCTTCCTGTTTCAAAAAAAGAGCCTGTTACAAAAAGTAACCCCAAGTTGGGCCATTTTTTAAAGAATGTATACTATACTCTCTGAGTCTGTAGTAAAAGAGCTCCAAACAGTAATATATTGTGATCCCTTTGGTTTAAAGATGCATATTTTTATGTGTGCTTTCCATTAAGCAGTCTATAAGCCCCTTTAGTAGTGAGTTATATAACATTTCTAATATTATTCTATCTCCAATTAGATGTTTGAAATGTTTCACAGGTATTTGGGAAGTTTCAACAAGCAGACATCCCATTGGCTCTCAGGGATGTTCCATAAATACTTTGGAAGTTCTAACTTGTGGCTTGGGAAAACCCACTGGCCCTCAGGGATGTTCCATGAGCTTTGGGAAGTTCCAGTAAACAGCATGGGACATCCCACTGGCTCTCAGGGATGTTTCATGAATACTTGGGAAGTTTCAACAAACAACTTGGAACATCCCATTGGCTCTCAGAGAAGTTGTAAGCTATAATCTGGGAGGTTCCAGTTGGTGACTTGAAATATTATGTGTGTGGACACTTGGGAGTTCCACTCTTTATTCTGTGAGTCCATTTGGTCCCATTTATAGCTTGAATTAACCCATCTGTTACTTAGGTATTGATCATGTGATGTTTTGTGATGGTCTGCCAAAAATTCCCTGAAAATTCAGACTCACAGGTCTGCACTTGAATTACCATAAAGAGATTTTTCTGGAGCACATCATACCCCCCAGAAATTAAAAAGTGACTCACCTTACAATAATACCTTTGTATAAAATTCTTTAGTGCAGGAGAAAACAGGCAACTGAGTGAGACAGTTGTTCTCAATGTAATGTATAATGGTCCCATGGGAAACCCTGGCCATAAACAGGCAAATAATTACCAAATGATCACACAAAAGATACAGTGATATATTTAACAAGGCATGAGTTTAGACAGTGGGAAGTAGCAAGCACAGACCTTCATCTTCATCATCTCAAAGCAACATACACTCTTTGAACACTTGAGTGATGATCTTGGGCAGCACCATAAATTCATACTCACTACCATTATTAGACAATCTCCCTGTTGAAAGAATGTCTTAAGTGGTATGTCACAGTTGAACAATGGCAAGCCTGGGGTCTTCATTTGACAGTGTATGTAATACAATCCCAACCTTTATATTATTATATTTGTTACTTTGTATTATTGACTTGGTCAGACAATAGTAGTTATAATAGTAGTTGAAGTCAAACTTGGCTTTACCCCTACCTTCCTTTTTCTACAAAGTTTGGTATTGGTTGAGTCACCACCACACAGATAAGTTTCAAATAAATACCAGCAGTTTTCAGGACTATTTTGAAGTTGACATATCTATTCTCATGCATCCATTCCTCTGGCTTCTGAATTACTACACCTGTTAGCAATTATGCTAGACCTGACACCAACAATGTCTGTAGCAATCTCATATGCAAAGCCAAAGTGAGGTTGTGGAATATGTGCCTATGTCATTCATTCCTTCACACATAAACAAAGCCAAGAACTAATCACAGGCAAATCATTCAACTGTAATGGTCACACAGAATGTCACACAGCAAAAAGAGAGTTGAAAGAATTCCCAAGTGAGCCAGTGTGAGAACAACAAATTCACAGTTGATTCTAAGAATACCACCTCTAGCTACTACAAGAGGTCTCTTATACACTAGAAGGGAGGTAAGCTAACCATCCAGCTAGGTGCTATTGAAATCATTGTAGGAAATTTAAAAAAAACAGAAACAAGTAGTATAATGATATGCAGGGGAAAATAAAATAGCTCACTAGGGAATAGATACTATATTCCTACTACTACAGGTAGGGTGTCTATAATTATCTCAGGTAACATTTTTTGCTGTAAACCTTGGAATGTTGCAAATACTGTGCTGCAGCCTATTTCAGCCTGGTGTTACTAATACGTAGTTCCAAAAAGTCTGTACTAAGCTTGCTCTGCACACTTTCTTACAGGACTCTTCTTGTGATAATTCCTGCTCCTGGTCCACTCCAATCTGTTTCCATGATCATCAAAATCAAACATCAGACTTGACTTTATGATATTTTATTATCAATCTAAACAACCTTTCCTCCTGTCCACACTGTTACTGATTATGCTGGAAACAATGGCACACATATTTACAAGTATCCTCTATTATCATTCTTTTTTGATGAAATTCCTTTTTCTTATTGTTGCATAGACTGACAAAGCTATTTTTTGTTTTCTATTCAATGTATCTATTTACAAGTTCCATCAAGATTGAACTTCATTGTATTAACATGTTGGCAGCTTTATCACCTGTGTGGCCTTTCAGACTGATGAGATCATCAGATTTTTAGTCAATTTGCAAAGATCTAAACCTGAGGGCAGCTGAGTTGACATACAGAACAGACCTCAGCGGAGGTCAATATTTCAGGAAATGCCCCAGTTGAGTGTTACAATAACACATTTTTCGGACCTTTAAAATTCATTCTCCTCTTCAACTTTCTTTTGTAGTTTTCACATCCTGTGCCATGTGGGACTTTCCATTATTGCTCAAACTCCACTTCTTGCGCTGTGCTGCCTTTTTCTTATTTTTAGTATCTCACGCAGTGGAGTTGGTCACACAGGCTGTGCAGCATGACATCATCAGCCACTGCCTTCATCAACTGTATAGTATATATGTACAAACAAACCTGTAGTAGTATATGTTAGAATATACTCTGACATACCAATACTCCATAGGATAATACCTCTGATTTGTAAGCCAGCCCAGTATGCAGCAGCTATACGGGGCAGCCAACAAATACCTGGCTGTACAAACACACACAACATACCACTGTAAAACACACACGGTATTCAGGCCAAATGGGATCACAGCCGGCTGTAATTCAATTCCTATTATAACCAATAAATTAAATTTCTATGTGAAGCCTTATAGTTACTATGTCAGCTATACCAGCTATACCAGCTCATTTATGTCTATGAGAACCTTTTTCTGATACTAATAATGATAGAATTAATATTCACCAAATAGTTTGGTACGCATACAAACTAGCCTAATTATTTAATAGAAATCTATCACAAACATCCAAAGATGTCTATTCTCGCACGGCTTATTGGGTGATCTAATCTTATCTTTGCTGGAACAACAATACTGGACCATGCGAGAATAGACAGTCTGACCGTCCATTCTTGCACGGCTCATCTAATCTTATCTTTGCTGGGACAATACTGAACCGTGTGAGAATGGACAGTCTGACCGTCCATTCTCACATGGTCCAGCAGATTGCTGATTTCACGTTATCAGCATTGCAACGCCTTATCATATTTTTGTGTAACCAAGGTCAGGCTGCCATACATTTTCCCACAGTCTTTGTAGTATACTGAAGTTGTACAGATTTACTATTCTGGCACTACAGGTCAAGATCCTCGCTCAGATACTGGGTCAGCAACCACTGCCAACAGAGCTGATGGATTTTTATGCCCAACTGGTGGGTATCCTAAGCACGCTCACTCCTGCTGACCTCTCTGCACTGCTAGACAAAGTGGCTCCATCCTCAATGGTTCCATTGTCACTCTCTGACAGCCCACCTTCTGTCACCATGCATCAAGATCTAACAACATCATCCCCAGCTCGCTTTGGTGAAGAGGTATGTTGGCTCTCCCCTCCTAATGCCGATGTTACTGACTATTTTTTCTCCACAGCAAACTCAAGCTGACAAGTCCAAATTGCAGACCAATCAATCTCTGCAACAATTTCTGGCGGTGATACGCTCACAAAGACGCCAACCACATCAACACCCATATGCTGCTGCAGCTTCTACTCCTACTCTTGCACATCAATCTTGTTGATCTCCATCTCCTGCATATTGACAACCTGCTCCAGCTCCTGCACGTTGATGGCCTTGTCCAAGGGTGTTACGCACGAAGTGCTTAACAAAGTCTGAGGGTTCGTTGAGGTTTATAAAGAGACTTATCCGAAGACAAATTTGAGAACGTATTTCTGAGTAGAGGTTTTCACTGAAATTTGGTACCTTCGCCATCCATATTGTAACTGTTGTCGTAGCTGACATCTCCATGTAATCCTTCCATCAGAATCCTATTCTCGTCTTCCCTGCGGATGGGACATCAATTGAAACTATGTCCCGGTGCACAACAGTCACAGTTGGGGCAATAGTAGGCTTCGCAATAGTATGTGCAATGATTGCTCCAACTGCAGTTTTGGCAGTATGGAGCGTTGTTACAAACGCCTTCACGGTATCTTTGTCGGGTGTTGGATGAGGCGTTGGATTGGGGAGTGGTTGGATTGTCATCTCCCAGGTTGTACATTCCTGCGTACAACTGATCGATCATGGCTGCATCGTCATCTACATTGATTGGGTTGGAGGGAGAGCCAGTCTCAGGCCTGTGCATTGCGCCAGGCAGACTGTCTTTTTGTCCCTTCGACATACAAGACTGCCATTTTGATGGAGTTTTGGCGGCGGGGATCTGGAGTATCACCTCTTGCCGGCTGATGGTGGTTTTGGGTTTGACCCAATGGAATGGGGACTGGAGTGGCTCAACTCTTGTGAGATCAGGCTGGTTGGGATGGTGGGAATATATTTTTCCTCCAACAGGATGGGCATAGGTTGACGGGTGATGATGTGGTAAGTGTGCTCTGGGGTAACACTGGTCTGGTCTGGGTGCGACAAGGACCGGAGGGACAAACCAGGTGGAGGAGTACTTGTACAACCGTCTTGCTCTATCCGCGTGCAAGTTTTGTTTAGCAATGTCCTCCCGCCTGATTCCAAATATTCCTTTGCCAAGTCTATCTGCCCATTTGAGGAGCTCATCCTCAAGCGTCATTCCAACAAAGATTCCAAAACTAACTTTTCCATCCGGAGTGCCTGACAGATACTCAAGTCCTGACTGTTGAGCCGCAAATGCTCGCTTTCCAACAAATGTATTGAGTCTATGGCTTTTAGGGGTTCGTCAGCTATGAGATCTATGGCAAGGAAGGTATGCATGGAAGAAAGAGTATGATACGCATGGGGGCAGCATTTTTTTTTTTGGTCTCGTAAAGGAGATAGGTATAGGCTTCTTTTGCTGACATTAATTCTATGGCATCAGTGATGTTGGCTTGGTTGTGTCGTTGCCCACGGGCAAAAGACACTCGTTCATCGGCTAGCAAGTTGGCGTCACCGGGTATTGAGTAGGTGGTGATAGGGAAGCCGGTGGAGTTAGAAGTAGACATGTTTTGTGTTGAAAGACAGAGGATTGTTGGTAGTGGGGTGATTGTCTTTTCAACGCAGCTTGTGGTCCTTCTTATAGGCTTCCAGTATCTCCGCAGCATTGGTTAAATGTTCTTCCGGTTCCCATGAGTTTTCAGAATGAGGGTAATGGCACCATTTAATCAGGTCGCGGCGCCCGCGTTTCCAGGGTTTGTGTCTAAGAATACTTTCTACTTCATATTCCTCTTCTTTGTTGACCAGGTCAGGTGGTGGTTGGATAAAGTTCGGGCCATGAGTGTTGGTTTCTGTATACGGCGTGAGAAGGGATGCATGGAAAACATTGTGTATCCTCCAATGGGGAGGCAGGGATAGTCGGTAGTTCACCGGGGAAATCGTTTCTTGGATGTGGAAAGGTCCGATGCGTTTCATGTTGAACTTCTTGTATTCGGTAGCTTTTTCTTGCAGGTTGGTGTTCTCTAACCACACCTTTTATCCTTCAGAGAATCGCGTGAACTTTCCGTTGTTTCGTTTCATCATCTTGCTTCTTGCCAGTTCATGTGCTTTTAGGGCGTTTTCCCTTGCCCTAAGTAGTTCGGATAATCATTTTTCCACTGATGGGATATTTGTGGATCTGTGTTTAGTTGGGATTCCTCGGGGTTCATATCCCATGAGGAGGTAGAATGGTGATTGGTTGTTTGTGGAGTGTGGTCTTTGGTTGTGACAGAATTTGGCGGTTGTAAGGTATTTTGTCCAGCTGTGCGGTTGGTTCTGGCAAAATATGCGGAGGTAGATCTCCAGTTCTTGATTGGATTGTTCTGTTTGTCCATCTGTCTGGGGATGATACACAGAAGAGAGTGCGGTTTCAATGTTCAGGAGTTTGTGAAGTTCTTTGGATACTTCAGAGGCAAACTGTGGTCCCCTGTTGGATATGAGTTTATCGTGCAATCCGAATCGTTTGGAGATGGAATCGTGAAAGATTCGTGCGGTTTTGAGTGCGTCAATGGTTTTATAACAAGGTGAGAGGATTACCCCCTTACTAAGTCCTTGGTCTACCACGACCATTATACTGTCATATCCTGAAGATTCTGGTAAATCAGTTATGAAGTCTACGGATAGGTACTTCATTGGTCCGGTGGTTTTTGGGGTCTGGTTTGGGATTAATGGTATGGTGGTGGGATGCGTGTTTACTTTTGCTTGTTGACAAGTTGCGCATCCTTTCACGTATTCTATTAAGAACAAAGCTTGAAGGAAGTGTCTAGCCACTTGCTGAGAGCAATCAGGGACTGGAACTAGAGTCCAATGTGAGTAACTATATTATTAGAGAGTATGACAGGTATACAGTACCTAGAGTCCAATGTGAGTAACTAGAGAATAGGAAGCATTGGATTCTGCAGTACTGTCCGAAGTTTTGTAAACAAAGGTAAACAAAGCAGCCACAAAGGCAAAATAATAGAGAACACAATCAATAGTGAATGATAGAAGAATAGATAAAGAAAGGAATGAAAATATATAGGTAGCACAAAGGTGCAGAATCACCAAAACTAACATATTCTTCCACTTGTTTCATCATTCCTGGCCACCAATAGGCCTTTTTGATCAACTGGTATTGCTCTGGACATCTTTCAAATCTTAATTCCGAGTTCTTCCAATCTATGTTTGGATTGTGTTTTGACAACCACTCGTGTCCCAGAAACATCCTGCCGGTGCCTAGGTTTGTGACAGCAAAGTGTATTCTTTCTGTGTGGTTGTCGATTTCCATTTTCAGTTCTACAAACTCTTTGATGGCTCCATCTTTGTTAAGAGTTCCATTGGCGTTCTAGACTGGAATTGGTCTCGGTATTCTATTTGTTTCATAGCCTTGCTGTTTTACAAACTGAGAGTCTATACAGCTCCCAGTGCATCCACTGTTTAGTAGCGCTTTGATCGTTGTTGATCTCTGCATATCCAGCGTTGTCAGTCTACAGGTGATGTTCATTTGATTTCCCTGTGTTCCTCTTATGTATTTTTTGGGAGTATGAAGCTCTAAGAGTGCTAACTCTGCATCATGTAATGATAATGCATTGAGTTCTTGTATTGTTTCTTTTGTAGCTTCTTTTTCTCTTTTGTAGTGTGTCCAGGCATTTAAGATTCCAATGGATCTTGCTTCCTTTTGGTCTCTTAGCCTTTCAGCTACCCATCTCGGTGTCCATGCTGCCATCATTATTTTATTTTATTCTTTTTCTAGGTTTTTATTTACAGGGGTTCCTGACCTGTCTTTCACAGTCTCTGCTGTGTTTTTCTCCGTAGAGATTGCTGCATCGGGTGTGAGCTTTTTTGTATCCGCCGCTGATGCTGCACTTTCTAAAGTCGTGCTCGCCGCCGTAGCTGCGTGTGTCACTTCTTTATGCGCCGCTTCTGCTGCGGTTGTACTTTCTTTTGGGGTTTTTGTTACCAGTCCCCTCTTCTGGTTTGCATCTTCATTGTCTTTCCTTACTTCTTTCTTTGTCTCTGAGTTGTTTGATAAATATTTCTTATTGTCTGTATCTACTAACTCTTTGACAGGTAGAATCGAGAAGGGGTTGACATATTGTGGCTTGGCTAATTGATGCTGTATTGGTTGCCATTTCAAAAATCCAATTTTAGAGCTTTACGCTCTTCTTTTGTGAGTGCCGCTATCATGGCACGTAAATCTATTTTGTTCTTCCCTTCTGTGGGACAGAACTTACTAATGTGGCCTTTGATACCACATTTGAAGCACAGGCCTTTCTTCTTGTATTTAGCTTTATCAATCTCCATGGGCTTTCCTGCGCCCGTGTAGATTGTTCCGGTCCCGTCTCTGGTTTCCGAATAAGCTTTCTTCTCCGTTCCCCCTCCGTTGTCCTTCCTCGTTCTGGCCCTCTCCGTCTGGCCAAAATAACTCTTCTTTTCCTTCTCTCTTTCTCGCCAGATTTGATTGTAGTTGAGGAGGAGCTTTCTCCACTCCTCATACTTCTTTGGTGGTAGTTTGTCTACCAGGGTGTAGTTCATATTTATTTTTATTAGGGTAATCAGGATTGAATCATCCCGATAACCCGCCTTTCTTCTGAGGCTATCGAACTCTAAAAAGAAGTCCCTAGCCGTTTTGGTTCCTTGTTTAAGTTGCAAGATTTTACTTCTTGCTTCTTCTTCTTCGTAACTATTTTTAAAGGCTTCATTCAGCCTTTCTTCGAATACGGACCATTGTTGAAATTGTGCCCGCTCCAATGATAAGGAGACGGACATTTTTTCTTCGAGCCATTTGCTTCTAAAGCTAGCGGCGGTCCCTTCTTTTATGTAAGATAGTACGAAGGCTATCTTTTTCCTTTCATACCCAAAATAGGTCGGGTCCTCTTCAAAATGGAGCGACAGATGTTCCATGAAGCTTCTAAACTTCATTTGGTCTCCGTCAAAGGCGGGCGACTTCTGCTTCCATCATGTTTCTCATCCATTCTTGGATCTCTCTGGTTATGCCTTCCGGCATTGGTAGTTGAATCTGAGCCGGTCCAACTTCTGGCAATGCCTCTGCGAGGTCTTGCATTGAGTCTGTCATTGTTTCTGTTGATGATGACTCTCCGTGCCGATATTCTCGGAAATTGGCGCTGAGGTATTGGGGCAGGGTCGGGAGATTTTTGTTTAATGGAAGGTGTGGGTGATTGAAGGGAAGCAGATTTGATCGATTCAATTGCGGGTGCGTCAAACTCGCAACACCTTAAAAAGGTATGTGTGTAATTTTGTTCTGTTTCTAGCCAAAGTGCTAGATCGTCTCTGTGCATATACAAGTATTCCCCAATGACAAGTTGGATCAATACAACTCTGTATAAGCTCACAGGTTCTGTCTTTCTCTTTGTGATAACTGGGCCCTCTTCTGTCCCAGACTATTGTGTACGTAACTAAGTAATGTGTGTCTAAGAAGGTAGGTAAAAGGTATTTGTAATAAATTGGGGTCCAAACGGTTGTCCCAATGTAACCCGCTTGTTAAGCTGTCAGTTCCTCTCCAACTGGCAGACACAAATTGTTACAATTTGTCTATCTATATTACGGACTACTCATTTCTCTTTACTCATCGGTTATACCATCGGACCGATGACTCACATCCCTCACGTACACTTCCGCTCCTCTCGCATTTCTATTACTTTGTATAGTACTCAGTCCTCAACGGACAGACCTACCCTAGATAGGACGTAACTCCTATTGCCGACTTACTTCTCTATAAATACGCTTGTAACAGTAGTAGTATTCTCCAATACGATTCTACGCAGTTTACGCTTACAAAGCTAGACTCCTAAGATCAGACTTCCATACGGAAGAAGACCAACAACCATTGGAATCCCTCTATTCAGAACTACATCCTCGAACTTGTCTTCGGATAAGTCTCTTTGAACAAACTCGACGAACCCTCAGACTTTGTTAAGCACTTTGTGCGTAACACAAATGTGCGGCCTGGTTAGAGGTATGCGAAATGAAACTATGTAAAACCGAGAAAACTCCAATGGTTCAACGCCAAGGAAATTATGTATGTATTCTTTTACTAGAGGGGGATGGTGTGGAAAGAAGTGGTGGAAGAGGTGGGTGAGATGTTGGCAGGGAAGGAGGATAAAATGGTGTTTGGGCGGGGTGGTAGGTGTGTGAGAGGGAGAATAGTAGTTTGTTGACGGTGATAGGTGAAGTGTAGGACGATGAATAGGGTGATGATGATGAGGGTTAGGGAAATGATGATAATAGTTGCTGTTTGTATCATTGACAGTGTCAAGCTTAGTTGTTGATTATGTGAGAGCTATACCCTATACCGAGTGTTACGATAACACAATTTCCGGACATTTCCTTTCTTTTCATTCTCCGCTTCAACTCTATACTTTAAATGCTATGCGGCATTTTCCCCTTTCTCGCACCGCGTTGCCTTCCTTTTATTTTTAGATTTAACTCTCTCACGCAGTGGAGCTGGCCATATGGGCTAGGCCCTATGACATCATCAGCCACTGCCTTCATCAAACTGTATAGTACACATGTACACACAACCTGTAGTAGTATATATACCCCAATAGATCCAGGAGACTCCTCAGCAAGTCCTCCTGTTGTATACCAACTAACTCACTGCAGCCTTAGGGGTAACCACTCCCCAACTTCATCTTCTTTGTAGTGTGTACTGTGTGCGCCGGAGTAATTCACTCTTGGTTGTTACACCGAGCTAACAGAGGTATAACAATTGAATTGCCAACAGAGTCAAAGACAACAGTTATAAAGATTAAATCAACAACTGGGGAATATGTACAGGAAGGAGGACTGTATATATACTAACTAACATGAGGCGCTGACTGAGCGACATGCGTAAGGCATGAGGTGCTTGGTAAGTGTCTACATCATAGGTCACGTGATTGATCAGGTGACTATGATAAGATAAGATTGTCTTTTAGAGATAAGATAAGGTGAAATGATATCTTCATCAGAGGTTTTGGTTTGTGTGGAGTCTGGGTTTAGGGTTTGAAATTGGGATCGTGACAGATAGTATATGATGGCAGATTGACGTCATGAAGATGGACCTGTTGCCCTATTTGGACCTGCTGCCGGGGCTTTGCTGATATCAACAGTGGCACGTGGTAGTTGACGGATCGGGGATGGAAGCGGATAGGAAGTGGTGATATCAGAAATGGTGGGGGTGCAAATAAGATGAGGAGGAGGAGGGTGGAGGTGACAAGGAGGTGAACTAAAATAGGGATCCAGAAACGACTGTCAGGTGAGAATAAAAAGGAGAGGAAGGGGCCCATGGTGGGGCTAGGCAAAGGAAGGGGAGTAAGGGAAACGACAAAAGCGAGGGCGCAATGCAATGTGTAGCCAGTGGCGATGCAAAAATTTGCTGAAATGCCAAAACACGGAAAGTACCAAATGGAAAAGCAAAGGTGAGCATGACTGGATTGCCTAATAGAGGTGGTGCTGATCAGCCACAAGTTTGAAAAAGGCAATATTAATTACTATTCCACGTGGCACTGTGCCTGTGTGGCGCAAAGGCGAGTCTTTTTGAATATTTGCTTTGTTATTAACACCTGTCCATGCTACCAATCAACTTTGGTGCATGACAGTGCAAAGTACCGAATGGAAAGCAAAGGTAAGCGCAACTTGATTGCCTAATAGAGGTGGTGCTGATCAGCTACAAGTTCAAAAAAGGCAATATTAATTACTATTCCACATGGCACTATGCCTGTGTGGCACAAAGGCGAGTCTTTTGAATATGCACTTCATTATTGACACCTGTCCATGCTCCCAATCAACTTTGGTTCATGACATCCACGGACAACTTGAAATTGCAACTGTCCCCAGTTGCTTCCATAAAGGTAGGGTCATAGGGAATGAAACATGGCAACACATTAAGGGGTCGTGTGGTCATAAAATTTATTCTGGTAAGTCATTAATCATCATCTTCATCATCTGAGTTGTTATGCTCATAGTCAGGTTCATCTTCAGGCTCATCTAGGTTGTCATCATGGTCATCCAGTTCATCCAGGAGGGGCATAGACTGTTGGTTGGGATAGGAAAGTAGTCAAAATGCTGCAATTGCTCTTTGTGATACTGATCCATCCATTTCTTTCAGAACATACAATCCTCCTTTAGTACATCGCACAATTTCATAAGGGCCATTGTAACGAGGCTTTGCTTTACGATCCAGCTCTTTCTCAAGGCAACTGTGTGGATTTTTGTGCAAATCCAGCGTCATATTTTATTGAAATCACTGTCATTCTTAGCCTGAACCTTTACTCAGTTACAAAAACCATATAGAATACACATCACTCAGCATGACGATTTTGCTACATTATGATACAAATAGAATACACCTAATCCATGAATTTGGAATTTTTCATGTCTTGGAGCATAAAAATGTCGTGATCCTTCAAGATCTTTTTCCCGTCGCGAGCTTCCAGTGGCCTGGATATGTCTATGTGATTGACACCAGCTGGGTAGCGTGCCTCCTCAATGCTTCCTGCCCAGTCAAAGTCGACGATCATGAACTGTGTTTTGTTGGTCTTGGACACCATAATATTCGTGTCGCGAATATCGCCATGGACGTAACCAGCTTCGTGAAGACTTTCCAGTTTTGCGGATATATCGGTGAAGACAGAAAGGGGGAGCCGTCCCGTGCGGGCACTCAGCATCTCAAAGTCGGCAGGGAGCATGTCCATGACCACCATGAACCAGCCACCGGCGATCTTTTCGAACCCTCGCAAGGCTGGGGCACATCCCAAAGATGCAAAGTGTTTATGGGCATCACACGAATAAGTTCGAACGAATTTGATACAGATATGATCGCCTTCGTCCTCAGTTCCGGAAAAGACGAGCTTGTCAGAGTCCAGTTCTATCACGTACCGGAAATGTTTCAGTGTATTGCTGTGAAGCGATCTGTAACTCGTTGGGTACGCGAACATATGAGGGGGGACTGGTGCGGAAGTAAGAAGAGGGGTTTCTGTCAGGTTTTCGTAATACTCATTCAGCCTTTCGGCAGCTTTGCGAAAAGCGGCCATGTGACGTGTCACAGTAAGTCGATTGTGGATATCGGTGGAATGAAAGTGAAACGCAATAGGTGTTGACAAGATCTGTACCGTCGGACGCAAATTCCATGCGGCACCGGCAAACACTATATGTGGCCCTGCAGAAAGAACCAATTAGCTCCCCATAGAACCAGTACAGTATGCAGGGACCAACCGAAAATGGCGAGAAGGAGGCAGGGCAAAGGGGATCTGCTGAATTTGACAGCCTTATCTCTCGTCCCCTCCAGGTAGTATCCTATGGCTTGGAAATACGGCTCGGCTGATGCATTCCCGGTTTCGTTCTTGTATTCGGCGATCACATAACGATGTCCTTGGGATTGCATGTCTGCATCCGTAATATATGCAGTAGTTTTCGTTTTGGTGATGGTGAAGTGGAAGCGGTACTTTTGAAATACCTTGTCAACAGCTTCAAGCCGTCCATTCTCGTTTTCATACAAGGCCGACATGGCTATCGCGAGGTGCTCGACGAAACTGTTGTCGTCAGCTGTTACATCAATAGTCTGACAGTCATCAAGAAACTGGCCAAAGACAGGATGTAAGAGGGTTACGGGGATAGTTTCCTCATATTCGCGAGGACGACCACAGGGTATAGATTTAAGGTGTTGTGAATTATTCTGTCGTCTCCGAAATTCAGACGGGGTGCCAGTGGCTGAAGGCTTCTCCTTTGGAGTGGATATTAGGAATTTATTGCGTGCAGTCGCGATCGGATCGCCATTTCCTACGTGACGATATGCCGATGGAGGATGTCCCGTTATCTCTGTGAGCTTGGGTGAGTACGAGCCAATACCGTCATGCTTTTTGCTTACTTTCATCGAGTAGCTCGACGACAACACGTGGCATCTGAAGAAAAGGGACGTCATCGAAGACCTCCTTCAGAATCACAGTCCCTTGCAGCATTTGACCCGATCCTGTAGCACCAAGAATCTCGTGGAGCTCGTCATCGTTGTTTGCTGTAACCTTGTAAACTCTGAAGCCAGGAAAGGGTATAATACCACTGTATGCCGCCTTGATCGAAGCGTTGAGATCGCCAATATCGGCCTCCGCTGGTATTGTGACTTTAATGAAACCCGCAAGATTTGCCCCTCGCATCCAAAATTTGATGGAAAGCACGTCTGGTAATGTGAAGAGAATGATCATCATGATTGAGGTTGAGTTGGAATTGCAAGTGCCACATACCAATGATAAGGTGAAGTTGGTTTCTGGCAGGCGGTTGCGTAAAAACATCTGACAACTGCTGCCCCGCCTCCAGAGGATTTTCCAGACTGGGACTGGTGAGATTGCTGAGCACACCTTCAAGTGAATCACCTCCTTCATATGGAAAGGAAACTTTGTAGAGTTCGAGATTGGTCGCCTCCACATCGCGGAACGTGACAAACCTCTCATTCTTGATGACTGTTTTGAGGTCGTAGACAGTCTCTGAACTTGAGACCTTGACATAAAAGACGACACTGGATCTGTCACCGCGCACCCAGCAGCAAAGAGTCAAGTTTGGGACTTCAATTTTGCGTGAAACTGAGTCATAAAGTTTGCCGTCAGAAGGGTAATAGGATACAGTGATAAATGCGTACAAGAACTGGGTGCACGGACGATGATGAACCACACCCCTTCCTTAGACTTGGGGAAAAGGGTTGATAATTTGGATCGTGTGGTGAGCTTCCTTTCCTTTGAATGATCCCACCGACTAAGTTTGCCTTCCAGTTGCTCATCGTCAGGAAGGCAAATGGAGTAGAGTTCGAGCTCGCTCGCATCCTCATCACGGAACTGTGAGGAGTTCTTGTTCTTGATGGCTTCTTTGAGGTCGTAGACAGTCTCTGAACTTGAGATGTCGACAGTCGAGATCCTTTCAACATCTTCACCGTAGACCCAACAGTTGAGCTTTTCCATGTTGTGGCACTTGGCTGGACTGAATGAAAAGATGAAAGACGGTGCGCGTGTGTGTGGCAACTCCGCCATACCTTGGTGGGCAACTCCGCCATAGCCAGGGAAGTCACCGAATCGGTCGACCAATCTTTGGTCGACCGATTGACCGATTGTCGACCGATTATTCACGTGACCTGACTTTTTTTTCACCAAGTTCGTTTCTAACCCTATTTTCGGGGTTCGCATAGGTAGTGGTACTCTTTCGAAAGTCTATACAGCGACAGCAAAGGCATAAAATATTTATATTAGAGATCTGTGCCCATTCATGTGTATTGCACAAGTATTATGAGTAGTGTGAATGCAGAAAAAAGTACGGAAATGCAGAAAAAAGTAAGGAAAAGAGCGAAAATCATGAAAAAAACTTCAAGAAACCACTACTGCTTGCTCCATGTCGGAAAGACAGTCAACCCTCAAATACTTTTTTCCTTCGTGCTCCTTGACCAAATCCGGCATGGGGGGACTCAACGTGAGGGATTCATAAAGCCGAAACAAGACTGGGCTGTATGGAATTGGAGGGGTCATTCGTTTGACTAGCATAGCTGTTACAATAACACAATTTCCGGACATTTCCTTTCTTTTTATTCTCCGCTTCAACTCTATACTTTAAGTGCCACGCGGCATTTTCCCTTTCCCGCGCCGCGTTGCCTTTCTCTTATTTTAGATTCAACTCTCTCACGCAGTGGAGCTGGCCATACGGGCTAGGCCCTATGACATCATCAGCCACTGCCTTCATCAACTGTATAGTACACATGTACAAACAAACCTGTAGTAGTATATATACCCCAATAGACTCCTCAGCAAGTCCTCCTGTTGTATACCAACTAACTCACTGCAGCCTAAGGGGTAACCACTCCCCAACTTCATCCTCCTTCTAGTGTATTCTGTGTGCGCCAGAGTAATTCACTCTTGGTTGTTACAATAGCTGCAAATGCCTGATATTCCATCTCAAGGTCAGCACCATTTCCACCCTCAATTATGACCTTCTCATATATTTCATGAATAGTTGAGAGGAAAACCCGAGGATGAAAGTGAGTGCCATTCACAAAAATGCCTTGAGGCTGTGGCCAGGGTGGAAGCTCGTCTGGGAAATCCTTTCTGACAGGAACACTGTCAGAACAGAATAGTTTCTTTTGGTTTCCTGAAAAGCCTGTCGATCCTGGGTACTTGATAGTGCAGCAATGGTGTCGATGATGAGAACTGTTGTTAGAAAACCACACACAAAAACAAACTAACAAACAATCCTCCCAGATTCCACGGAACTTGTTTATGGGCTTTGCCTCCTAGAACAGTGGGTGCTCTGGTTGTTCGTGGGGTGGTATGTATGAAAGTCCTTCAAAGTAAAACCCAGAGAGATATGGGTGTGGGTTTTGAGGAGGAGGGATAGTTGAATTTATAGAAGATGGGGGCTTTGTGACGAGTATAGACGAGCACTACCTTGCTAATTGTAGCACAAGGTAGGTTTGAGAATGACAAAGATGACGAGGTGACGAGGTTCCCAGTGATAGCAGGCTCCTGACGCACAAACTGTAGTGCTCAGAAGGACTCTAATCGAAAGGGATGACAGTGACTTTCAAAAATGACAAGTGACGATGACAGCAGATAGCAGTGGTAGCAGTGGGAAGTATTGTGACCACACTGGATCACAAGTAGCAGAGTAGTGAACTTGAGATTTAGAGAAGAAGTCTGGAATCGAGTTCTTTTGTTTTTTTTTACAAGGTAAAATACAGGGGTTTATATGGTGAAAAGAAAGGCAGGCTATGCACAGTATAGCTGCGCAAAAAGAATGAGAAAGAACATGAAGGAAGGAATGTACGCTGACGAATCGCACTGCAAATGAATGTTCTGCTGAAAAAAAGAAACTGGAGCCACCGGTCCACCACCTAGTCCAAATCCGACAGTTCCATGGCCTTACCAATGGACTGGTTGTGTTGGACCACCTGATCAAACAAGGGAGGGAGAGGAGTAGTTCCAATTTGGAACAAGTGAGTCCCAGGCAGCGTATGGTAGGTGTAGCTGTAGCGAAGACAATGGACAAAGGATAAGTGTACCCAAGTGAATGGGACAGCGATGAACATGGGCAACGCAAGGGGATGAACCTTCTCCAGCTCAAAAACTACCCACCCATGCTCCAACCAGGCGAGACGAGTGACCGATATTTTGATAGTATGTGATGGCAGATCGACGTCATGAAGGTGGACCTGTTGCCCTATTTGGACCGGCCGCCGGGGGCTTTGCTGATATCAGCAGTGGCACGTGGTAGTCAACGGATTGGCGACGGAAGCGGATAGGAAGTGGTGACATCAGAAATGGTGAGGGTGCAAATAATATGAGGAGGAGGAGGGTGGAGGTGACGAATAAGTGGACTAGAATGGGGATCCAGAAACGACCGTCGGGTGAGAATAAAAAGGAGAGGAAAGGGCCCATGGTGGGGCTAGGCAAAGGAAGGGGAGTAAGGGAAACGACAAAAGCGAGGGCGCAATGTAATGTGTAGCCAGTGGCGACGCAAAAATTTGCCAAAATGCCAAAACACGGAAAGTACCGGATGGAAAAGCAAAGGTGAGCGTGACTGGATTGCCTAATAGAGGTGGTGCTGATCAGCCACAAGTTCGAAACAGGCAATATTAATTACTATTCCACGTGGCACTGTGCCTGTGTGGCGCAAAGGCGAGTCTTTTTGAATATTTGCTTTGTTATTGACACCTGTCCATGCTACCAATCAATTTTGGTGCATGACAACGGCTACATATTTGAGTCTTACGCTAGTAGCATAGTTGAATCATTCATATATTGTTTCATGTATGTTTATCACTTACTGATTTCAGGTCTGTGTTTTCTCCTTTAACGAGCTGGACAATGAAACAATGGGTTCTCCAAAACTTCTCATTGCCGCTTGATGCTGATGAAAGAGACAGACAATTCAGTAGTACAATATGAGAGAATCAAACAATTCTTACAAACAAAATTATTAGACTTGATCCTCTTGACAATCTTTGTCTCTATTTCCCCCAATTTGTCAAATAGTGCACGGGGTTTTTTCATAACTGCTGGGCTACCACCAGACTTAGGAAGCTTCTCTAGTCTACTATTATAGTCTGCTGTAGCCAGAACCCATTTTTGAGACGTCATGCTGAACAATGCCCATTTATTTTGTAGGCGCATATCCATGAATAGGAAAAATTTGGCACTAGAGTTGAGGGTGAGTGAACGTGGGTCGATACCCGTCAAGATGGAAAATATGCGCTGAAAGCGTGAGAGACCATTCAAGTTGGGGTCAGCAAGTGGTGAGAAGGCCGCCATCAAGTTTTGGCTCGTGTGTTTGTCACTAGGGCACTTGGGGGCGACAGTCTTTGATCCAGGTGCAAAAAACATGCTGATAATATTGCTGGTGGATGGCTGGTTGGTCCGGATAAGTGGGTACCATGGGCATGCTCAGTGTTGATTTCATTATAGTCAGATATGTACTTACAGTGCCTTTTGCCTGTATACTTGAGGCATTTGTAGCCGGTGTACTTGGGGCATTTGTTGCTGATGTACTTAGGGTGTTCGCTGTTGTCTCCTATGCAGTAGTGTACATGAGTATTTCCAAAAAGGATATTAAATCTACATACCTGAGCAGTGGGGATACAACTCTTCTTCTGTAGTGGGCCTTCCAATGCGCCAGCAAGTGGCCCCAAATCTTCAGTTAGGTCATAAAATGGGACCTTCCGCTTGAGAGGCCCAGATTGGCTGGAATTGGCAAGCGCTGTTGGCTCAGTTATAGCCATCATTTCACCTGGTTGCAATGAGGCATACTCAAGTAGAGCACATGAGTATTGTGTGTCAGCTGAAAAGGACAGAAGTTAGTTAGGTAGCAAGACAGTCATGGTGAAAAGGATACTTGCCTAAGGTGATTTGAGGCACTGTAAGCAAGTTGGGGTCGATATCCAGGCATTGCAGGATTGATGTGGGCTCAATCTCGGCATCTAAGTCTAATTGATCCAGGCTGAGGTCTTGCTCATCAAAATTAGCCTCAGTCTTAACTTCTATGAGGCCTCCAAATATTGAGCTGTGGTTAGAGGGGCCGAGACCAAAGGATTCTTTGGCGTTGATGGATGAAAGGAAAGGGCGTGCCTTCAGCTCTTGACTGTTGTTGCTGTGAGTTGGTTCTGTGGAAAGCAAGCTGTTCCATGAGTTGGCAATGTGGTTAGCTAAGCGGATGTGGTGTGTCCCATGGATGGAACTAAGGAATTTGCTCGGTTTCTGCGAGCGGAAGCGAATGCGTATGTTACGATGTATGTAACAACCAAGAGTGATCTACTCTGGCGCACACAGAACACACACTAAAGTGAAGATGAAGTTTGGGGAGTGGTTACCCCTTGAGCTGCAGTGAGTTAGTTGGTATACAACAGGAGGACTCGCTGAGGAGTCTCCTGGATCTATTGGGGTATATATACTACTACAGGTTGTTTGTACATGTGTACTATACAGTTGATGAAGGCAGTGGCTAATGATGTCATAGGGCCTAGCCCGTATGGCCAGCTCCACTGCGTGAGAGAGTTAAGTCTAAAGATAAAAGAAAGGCAACGCGGCGCGAGAAAGGGAAGTGCCATGTGGCAATTAAGGTATAAAGTTAAAGCGGAGAATAAAATGAAAGGAGATGTCCGGAAATTGTGTTATCGTAACAATGTATCACAAAATCAAAACCTAAGGCTAAGAACATCTCCAGGCCGCTGGCAAATGACCGCATGATGCCGTTCCAAGCCTTGTGCAACCCTTCAATGCGGCTTCTATCTGATCTTATATCTTGCCAAACTCGCATCAAACACCCTTTTTTGATGTGTGCGAACTGGTCTGCGTGCACCTGTGTAATTTAGATTGTCAGTAGTAGTGTATATGGCATGAAAAATGAAGTACTTACCTTGGAGGCAGCTGCAGACCACACCCCGCCCTTTTCGGCCCACTTCTCAAACATTGTTTGAAGCTGGACCTCTTGCTCTTCTTTTGTTCGATACTTCGCACTTTCTCCATTACCTGATGCCCGTGAACTCAGGATAGCTTTGCTAATGTCGTGGGCTACAGCCAAACACTGAGGGTTCCTGGTTCCGTTGAGAATGGCAGCAAGATACCTGCAAATATGTGAGTACAAGAACAGATAAGTCGTGTTTACTTACCTCATAATGAAATGGAATACATCCAGGCCAACTTGTGCATCTGGCATTGCTTTATTGACTGCACTGCGTACGTGGCAGCAGTTATCAACAATGACCATTTGTGGGAGGGGCTGATCCAGTTTTTCATAGCGAGACTTCAAGCCTTCAAGCAACTCCTCCATTTCTGTGTTTGCTTGAGTTTGGCAAAGTCTCTGTTAGATCCGGATTAGCCAGCAAGTTCAAACATTAATAAAACAAAACTCACCCAACAAAGTATCTCATTATCCTCGTTTATAGCGGTAAGCATTCCCCCCCTCATGAACTTGGTCCTTGTCTTCTGCTTATCTGCCACTGTTGCCTTCCCTGCAGCTTTGAAAGTATTGTCGAGAGAAATACAAACACCTGTTGCATCCCATGTTAGTTCCAGAGTTGATCAGCTACTGAAGGGAAAAGGATCTCACCAGACAAGGTGCGTAAGTATTCAGATGACTCAGCTTGTCGTGAGCGTTTACTGACTTCAAGATAAACATCTGTGATAAGATCATCAGTAATAGGTTTGTCACCATATGCATTGCTCAGGTTTGGTAGTGAGAATTCCACAAGAGGAGCACATGGCTCAAAAGGCAAGTGACACCTTCTTCTCTTTTCAAAATGTTGTAAGTATTCTAGAAAGCGCTGCTGATAGTCGAAAAGATGGAGTTCTGCGGTCAATGACACATTTCCAGGTAAGTGTTGAAGGCACAAAAGACATGATGACTTACATTTGAAATTTTCTGCCAGTCCAGCCGATGTGGTTGAAGGTCGCAACTCAATGATCAGATCAAACAGATCGCGTGTCATACCGCATTTTTTGAAGAAGACTGGCACATTTTCTGTTTAATCTGGTGAGATCAGTGGCAGCTGTCTTGATGATGGGATTACTGTTGGAGATATGAGAGAAACAAGTGTCGTACAAAGAAGGGAAGTGGCGCAAGCGCCGAACTAGGCAGGCCTAGTAGATGGAGTGGCCCGTGCGCCATCAGATAACATTTTTGATTTTGATTCCGTTCTCCCTTATATACGCTGTCGTTGTTAGGCAGACACCTCAGACCTTCACTCGAAGTCTGAGGTGAGATTCCCCTTTAGTGTTAAATTACGAGTACCTAGCTTACCTTTTGTTTTTCCAGCTGTTCATTGCTAGGTACATTATTTCAATATATTTAGACCTTCACTCAAAGTCTGAGCTGTTCATTGCTAGATAAACAATAATTACTAACGAGGGATCTTCCAAAATTCCCACTTCTCCCAGAATAGATGACTTGTGGTCGCAAAGCAGTACATATCTTCTCCACTTTTAGGATCACCACGTTGCTTATTATTCTCTTTGCAGGCCTTGCATTGCAATTGGACTCCTAGTGCGTACTCTTCTCTTTGGATGCCATGAATATCTCGATGTCCTGTGGAAGTCCATCCTCCCCACTTCACATTCAGAGACTGACACCTCGGGCATTGATCAAGGCCGTCAAAATAGAAGGGGTGGACAATGGTTATCTCCTTCATGTAAGCAGTTCCAGGCTTCACATTTGGAAGATGTTTACGTTTTTCTAGTTGCAAAAATGTTGGAGGTGTAAATTGAGGGCCATAAAAAGGTATGCTACTCTTCAGATTTGGTGGAACTGACCCACTCTTGCTGTTGGGGTGAACAGATGTTGCCGAACTGACAAAGTCCACATACTCGACCACATGGGCCTCCCATTCGTACTGGGCCATTTGAAATTCACTGGCTGGGGTTGAATGACTACCTTCCCATGCTCTGACACATTGTTTCACCTTCATTTCAAGTAAGTTCTTATCTTTAACTGGATTGTATGACAAAACAACTCACAGATTCATTCCAATTAGTCTCAAACTTTACACATTCACCAGCAGTCAAGGTGTTTTTAATCACACCTCTGACAACCATTGGCTCGAAGACTGACATGCTTTTACTAGGTAGTTGGGCTGTAGTCCGTTGTTGACAAAACTGGAGAATAGGAGTGGTGAGCACTCTCCTTTTTATTTAAATTTCTATTTCAAACTGGCTGAAGCTTTGCTAAGACAGCTAGTACACTATTACTCAAACACTTCGGCGACCTTCTAAACATCACAGTGAAATATATGTAGATCAGGTAATATAAAATACAGAGTGACTAGGCTATACTAGAAATAAATAAGTAAGAACAGTCATCATGAAACTGCATTTTGCAGAAGAGTGCGCAACTGACTGTATTGAGCCTCACAAATAGACAGGAAATGTTCTCGAATAAGTCGGTTTCCATGTATACCTGGACCATGTAGTAGTGTGAAACACACCTTGACAGGCAGGCCAATCGGGATGTCATCAAACGTTTCTGGTGGCCTTTGGTCCCCACATAAATTGAATATTGGGAACTCATTTGCGAGGGAATGCTAGCCAAACACATGAAAATTTAATTAGCCTTATATTTCTCAAAAAAAAGACACTCACATCATTATCATCATAGAGTCTCGACGAGACTTGTATCAGTTCTGTTTCATCAGGTCCAATTGCAATAGGCCTTGAGATCAGCTCAGAGGTACATGTCCCCTCACCGAGACTCAGTGAAACCTCGTGAAGACAGTGCAAAAGACACTGCCACGCTCTAAGCCCACACTGATCTTCCATTGGTTCAAGCCAGCAAGATGCAACAGTGCTGTGTATGTCTGGATAACCTTCAAACATGCTGTTGTCTCCTTGAGTAGTTAAATAGCACTGTCTTGACAAGATCTTGCAATCAACCGCAAATGCCATCTTAAGATATGCCGGAGGCTGAATTGAGCCTGGAAACCTCCAACAGAGGAGATACCTGTCAGGGCCTATGCTAACAAAACAAAGATTATCGAGTTGGCTTTCAGTATCGGCAAGAAGGGCTGGGCAATGGAGGAAATAGTCAGATAGCGTAATTTTTATTTGACAACATGAACTCTATAAAAATATATAGCATACTACTTAATAGCTCACCTAGGCCTGCCATGAGACTCAATCCCCACAAGTTTTTGAAGTTATACACTTGAAAATCTCCTGAGCAATTGTGAGTCATTGTCAACCTTCTTTGCAGATACGATCTGATGGCTTAGCACTTACTAATTGATACCGGTGGAATGGTACAAAGAAGCACACAAGGGAAGCACGTTTGGTAAAGGTGGGTGTCTTGATAATAGCCGCTCAGAAGTAAGGAACAGAGGGGCTCTCTTGAGTGTGGCCGCAGAAGTTCCTGGGAGGGTCCCAGAATAGCCCTGGGGACCATCCAGGTAGCTTTGGTGGCCCTCCGGGGGCAAGAACTTCCTGGGAATGACCAATTTTTCCCTTGGTGGTGATTATGGATCACGTTGTCGATGATGAGAACCGTTGTTAGAAAACCACACACAAAAACAAACTAACAAACAATCCTCCCAGATTCCACGGAACTTGTTTATGGGCTTTGCCTCCTAGAACGGTGGGTGCTCTGGTTGTTCGTGGGGGGTATGTATGAAGATCCTCCAAAGTAAAACTCAGAGATGTATGGGTGTGGGTTTTGAGGAGGAGGGATAGTTGAATTTATAGAGGATGGGGGCTTAATGACGAGTATAGATGAGCACTACCTTGCTAATTGTAGCACAAGGTAGGTTTGAGAATGACAAGGTTCCCAGTGATAGCAGGCTCCTGACGCACAAACTGTAGTGCTCAGAAGGACTCTAATCGAAAGGGATGACAATGACTTCAAAAGTTGGAAGTGACAATGACAGCAGTTAACAGTGGTAGAAGTGGGAAGTGTTGTGACCACACTGGATCACAAGTAGCAGAGTAGTGAACTTGAGAGTAGAGAAGAAGTCTGGATTTGAGTTCTTTGTTTTTTTTACAAGGTAAAATACAGGGGTTTATATAGTGAAAAGAAAGGTAGGCTATGCACAGTATAGCTGCGCAAAAAGAATGAGAAAGAACATGAAGGAAGGAATGTACGCTGACAAATCCTGCGTAGTTGCTACAGGATAAGATTGTCAAAATAAGGGAAAGAAAGGGATAGAACAATAAATGCTGTGAGTAATGTCACAGGTTTGTACAGCCATAAAGTAAAGTCCAATAGCAAAAAGAGAGCAGGAAAATCATGATGTCATGGGAAGATGCAGTAAAAAAAGGGCAAGGCAAAACATTATCAGTATCAACACAGTTCCTTTATTGTCAGTCAGGCATTCTAAAAAAATATGTGTCCATAAAATGATTCAAAAATCAAAAATAACTGCACTGCAAATGAATGTTCTGCTGAAGAAAAAGAAACTGGAGCCACCGATCCACCACTTAGTCCAAATCCGACAGTTCCATGGCCTTACCAATAGACTGGTTGTGTTGGACCACCTGATCAAACAAGGGAGGGAGAGGAGTAGTTCCAATTTGGAACAAGTGAGTCCCACGTAGCGTGTGGTAGGTGTAGCTGTAGCAAAGACGATGGACAAAAGATAAGTGTACCCAAGTGAATGGGACAGCGATGAACATGGGTGACGCAAGGGGATGAACCTTCTCCAGCTCAAAAACTACCCACCCACGCTCCAACCAGGCAAGACGAGCAACCGATGTTTTGATAGTATATGATGGCAGATTGTGTAACAACCAAGAGTTAGTTACTCTGGCGCACACAGGAACACACTATAAAGGTAGTGGAAGATGGGGAGTGGGTACCCCTTGGGCTGCAGTGAGTTAGTTGGTATACAACAGGAGGACTCGCTGAGGAGTCTCCTGGATTTATTGGGGTATATATACTACTACAGGTTTGTTTGTACATGTGTACTATACAGTTGATGAAGGCAGTGGCTGATGATGTCATAGGGCCTAGCCCGTATGGCCAGCTCCACTGCGTGAGAGAGTTAAGTCTAAAAGTAAAAGAAAGGCAACGCGGCGTGAGAAAGGGAAATGCCGCGTGGCACTTAAAGTATAAAGTTAAAGCGGAGAATAAAAGGAAAGGAGATGTCTGGAAATTGTGTTATCGTAACACTACCCCCCTTCTAAGGCTCGACTTCCAGGCGAGACCAAATTCCGGAGGTAGTGGTAAAATTTTCGGGCATAGGTTGAAAGAGGGAATTAAAAAGGTTTGAATCCATGCCTCTAAGCTTCCTGGGAGCTGAGGGATTCCTAGAATAAAATTTGCGAACAGCATCGCGGGAGTTTTCCAGATGGGATTCTGGTTCCCACGTTCTGTCCTCGTCTCCGTAGCCCTTCCATAGGACCAGGAACTCTAATTTTCCACGCTTCAAGCGTGCATCTACCACCCGTTCGACTTCGAACTCTTCTTCACCTTCCTGGGTGACTACTACCGGACCGGGCCGGTCTACGCGCTGTCCTGGCAGCGGTCCCTTGTAGGGTTTCACACGGCTAATGTTAACCGTGGGCACCACCCTCATTCGTTTTGGGAGTTCCAGCTCCACCGCATTAGGTTTGACTTCCTTAATCCGGTAAGGGCCAATCCACTTTTCGGTCAGTTTTCTAGACTGCCGGTCTTTTAATTTCAAGTGGTCGGTGTCTAACCAGACCAGGTCGCCGACCTTGTAATCAGGGGCTTTAGAGCGTCTACGCTCTGCCCTGTCCTTCATCTGCTCTGCAGTTCTAAATAGCGCCTTGCGCGTTTCGTCTAAGACAGACTTCATGTCTTTTGCCATGTTCCCAGCAGCCTTGTTTTTGCTTTTGCCAGGTTCTACACCCATTCTGGGGAGGTACGATCTAGTAACCTCGAATGGTGCCTTGCCTGTAGCCGACGACTGTTTAATGTTATATGAGAATTGGGCTATCTTTAGCCACTTGGCCCAATCCGTCTGTCTGTCATTAATAAATATACGGAGGTACTGTTTTAACTCCTGGTTAAGTCTCTCCGTTTGTCCATCGGTTTGCGGATGGAACGCCGTGGATAATTTAGGTTTGATGCCCAGCATCCAGCATAATTCTTTCGTAAATTCGCTAGCGAATTGCGGTCCTCGATCGGAGATCACCGTTTCTGGTAACCCATGGGTGGACCATACGAAATCCTTAAATAGATCTGCCGTACCGGCGGCGGTAATAGTTTTATTGGTGGGTATGAATACCACTTCTTTGGAGAAGCGGTCTACTACCACCATTACTGAATCGTACCCGTTTGACTCGGGCAGATCCGTTGTGAAGTCCACCGATATATCCTGCCAGGGGCCAGCTGGTATCGGGTTCGGCATGAGTTTACCGGCCGGCGGTTGATGGGAATTCTTGGCCATGGCGCATCTCAGACAGGATTTTACATATTCCTGTATGTCTTTGACCATGCCAGGCCACATGTAGTTTCTGGAGATCAACTCCATCGTTCGTTGCCATCCAGGGTGCCCAGCCACTGGAGTGTCATGATGTCTATCTATTGCCTTGATCCTTGCGGACTCAGGCACATAGATTTTGTTTTTAAAATGGAAGAACCCGTCTTTCCATAAATAGTTTTCATTGCCGTCAAGGCGCGCCTTTTCCTCTGGGGAGATGTCTTTCCTGAAGACTTCTAGGAGAGCAGAATCTTGCCCGATTCTAACATTGGCAACCCTTGATTGATCTATCAGGGTGACGCCTTTGTTGTCATCTTCAATGCCGTTGGCATGATCCTCTCTTCTAGATAAAGCATCCGCTTTCCCCATTGAGCTTCCTGGCTTATGAATTAATTTATAATTGAACCTTGACAAGT